AATATAACAAAATTTTTAATTTTAATAAATTAACTTCATTAAAAATTTATATTGTATTATAATAAATAAATTTTAATATGATTGGTTAGGACTTAAATCTTTATTAGTCTAAAAAATAGGACCTAATAATCTATGGACTTAGTTTAAGAACTAAGTCTTTAGGTCCAGGACCTAAGACTTTACTAACCCTACTTTCAGTTCAAAAACTCATATATCTACGAATGCGTCAGATACATTTTTTTTCTTTATGGAGCTATGAAATAAAAAATTGCACATGTTAGTCTGTATATATATAAATAAATACTCCCTTTTTTCCTTTTTATTTTTTGTTAAAAAATTTTAAATTTTCAAGAATGTCAAGATACGTATCTGTGTTTTTGAATTTAATATTTTCTTCATGGTGATATTAAGATGATTTTGATAGAGGTTTTAATACCTTTGTGAAGGTGTTCATTCTAATACTCCCTTCGTGAAGGTGATACTAATACTTTCTTCATGGAGGTTTTCGTTCTAATTCTCCCTTCGTGGAGGTGTTCGTTCTAATACTCCTTCGTGAAAGTGATACTAATACTCCCTTTCGTGGAGGTTTTCGTTCTAATACTCCCTTCGTGAAGGTGTTCGTTCTAATACTTCCTTCGTGAAGGTGATCATTCTAATACTCCTTTGTGGAGGTGATCATTCTAATACTCCTTTCGTAGAGATATTCATTTTAATGTTCCCTTCGTAAAGGTGTTCGTTCTAATACTCCTTCGTGGAGGTGATCATTCTAATACTTCCTTTGTGAAGGTATTCGTTCTAATATTCCCTTTGTGGAGGTGTTCGTTTTAATACTCCCTTTGTGGAGGTTTTGATACTCCTTCGTTCTAATACTCCCTTTGTGAAAATAAACTTCTAATGTTGTTAAAACGTTTTTGAATTGCACCTGTTGTAAAGTCTATTGATTCTGAAAAGGAATCAGTTATGTTCCTTTCTTACAACAGTCAAAAACTTGTTTTACGGTATTTGATTTATCTTAATCATCACCTAAGATAAATTTTGTGTATGTCTAACAAATTTTTTTTTCTTTTTAAAAAAGATTTACCTGTTTATAGAGAATGATCTTGTAATATTTTTAATAATTTTGAAAATCACGTTAAGCTTGAAGGAAACTTAATAGGCGTGAATTACTTGAGCATTGAAAAGTGGTAAGAGAAGAGAGGTATGAAATTGCTCATGTGGTTAAAAAATTGTCAAGAAGGTAAATTTAAAATTTTATTATTTAAATAAAAATAAAATCACTTTACTAAAACAACATTTAAAAATTAGGAATGGGTTTGTACATTTCAATGAAAAGTTGATGCAGACAACTTTTATGACAAAGTAAAGGAACAGACATTCAATGTTACTGTTCCCGGTGGTTTTCAAAAACCAATTAAATTCACAAAGCCTCAGGTAAGAAGTTTGTCTCATACAATTTATTCCTTTATAAAAATTAAAATTTATTTTTTTTTTCGTTTTGATAAACGAAAGGCAAATTAGTGAAAAAAGTGAAAATCGTAATGAAACCAATGAAAACAATAATGAAAACAACCAAAAAATATATTATGCTCTAATTGAAGAATCGTAAGTATAATTTTTACCATTGCTATAATTGTAAAAAAATTAAATTTTATTGTACTTTTAGGAGAAATTTCAAAATAATCTTAGCAACGCCCGGTTTAGAAAAACGATCATTAAAACTATTCTGTTTAGATCGTAAAATCAAAATTGAAGGTACAATTACTTCTATTGTTTAATAAACAATTTACCAGTTGGTAAATTTTCAATTAATTTGACACTCCCCGGAAAGTAAGTATTACTTTATTACTTATATTTTATATTTTTATAAAATCTTTTAAATTAATATTAAATATAAAATAATTTGTTTTATGAATTCTCTACAGCTTGGTTGTCGAAAAAGGATTGAGTATTATCATGAAAAAATTGGAAAATTATAACGATTAAATTTTTCATAGTTATTATTTTTATCAATAATATTCTACTTAAAAAGTTTATTGTATTGTATATTTTATCATAAGCTTGGTCGCAAAAGAAAACAATAATTGTATTCTGATTAGTCTGACTGTATTTTTTTAATCACCCTTTTCCCTTTT